CCACGGTGGTGGATGTAGCCAAGTACAGCTGAGGCAAACACCTCCTGGTCCTGGTGGCAGAAAATGTCCCAGTCTGTGCTTTCAAAGCAGTCCTGCAGCTACACAGAGGCACTGTTAGGCCAAGTGGTCACAGTCCGGGTTATTGGGGGTGAACACTTCCTCAGCAGTGTGTAGGCTGGAAACAGACTGATGAAGAGGAGGTTTGAGATGGGTTTTTAGTCCTGCAGCACAAATTTGTCCAAGTTTAAGTGAAAACACCCAACATAAGCAATGTGATATGATTTGAATTAAATAGATCTCTAAAACAGGCAAAACATTCTTAATAAAACCATGATTAACACATCAAGAGGAGCTTACAGTAGCTGCTGAACAGTTTCCTCCAAACCTTTCAGTTAATTTGGCAGAATTGAGGCACTTTAACAGAGTTTCTTTTAACCTGAGACAGTACTGGTACTTGGTACTGGAGTTGGCATTGATATGCAGACTGCTCTTATACCTGTTTAGTTTGCAGTTCATTAGACACAGAGCGAGGGATTTTTTCTGCTTCCTTCAGAACTTGCTGGGAGAGAGCAAGTCTGAAGTCATGGTTCTGAACCAGAAAAATTTAAGGGTTATCCCCCTCAAGTTTGAGGAGACTTCCTGCCCCTGGGAGGAGTTCAGGGATCTTGGGGTCATGTTCTCGGGTGAGGGGAGAATGGAGCGGGAAATCAATAGACAGATTGGAGTGGCTGCTGCTATAGTGCAGATGCTGCAACGGTCTGTCGTAAAGAGAATCTGAGTGAAAAGGCAAAGCTCTCTATTTACCAGTCTGCCTACGTTCCTACCCTCGCCTATGGTCATTAAATTTTGATCATGACCGAAAGACTGAGATCTTGGATACAGGTACCTGAAATTAGCTTTCTCCACAGGGTGAGTAGGCACTCCATTAGAGATAGGGTGAGGAGCTGTGTCTTTTGTGAGAGGCTCAGAGTAGAGCTGCTTCTCCATATCGAGAGGGGTCAACTGAGATTGCTCAGGCATCTTTTTTAGATGCCACCTGGATGCTTCCTCAAGAGGTATTCCAGGCATATCCCACCAGGAGGAGAACCAGGGGACAAAATTATATAAATAAATTACATTTTTTTTGCCAAGCTTTCACTTTAAGGTTATCTTATACCTTAAGCAAAAAATGCATTTTCAGGGGGTATTGAAAACCTCAACTCATTTTGCAGTTTGAACATGCCAGGGCAGGTTATACCAGACTCTTGGGATTGCCACAAAAACTCGGTCACCTTCTAGTTTTAGTTATGCTTCAGGTGCAGCTAGAGTTCTGAAGGAGTATAGATATGAAGAAGCTTGGTCATTTACTGGTAGCTAAGCCACTGAAAGCTTTAAGAACAAACAGTAAGATTTTTACAATCTATTCTGATATAGATTAAGGCCTCCACCTGTAAAACCATTCCTGTTTTGATGGTCGTCTCATTGTTGCCCCTCTAGTGCACCTGTTGTTAATTTCATTAATACCAAAGCAGCTAAAACTGATTTGCATCCTCCTCTACTACTTACCTGACCAAATCAATATCCCAGAAGTTTAATTATCTTGATGCTATACTCCGTGTTCCTTTATTATTATTATTTTTTTTTTTTTGAGTAGTGAATATCCGTTGGTTGTGCTGTTCTTTTTACATCTCTTTGCAGGTGATTAAGCAGGCTGAGATGTTATATCTTTATTTCCTTTTTATCTCCTCTTTCTTTCATCTTTTCTTCTTTTTTTCTGTTTTTACCTTTCCTGTTCTACTTACACTGTCCTCAGTGTCCACATAATCTGTAATACTCCCTGCATGATTTATAATAAAGCTATTTATATGTATAAATCGAGTGGAACACTATGGCGATAGCCTTATACTGCTTCACTTGTGAAAGCAAAATCTGTTGGGCTCTCGTTTTTGCATTAAGATAATTATTCTTATTGCCACATTGCCAGACAGGATACTGTTAAAAAAAATACAATTTTAATAGTTACCCTGGTGGCTTTTACATCTGACAATGGTACCTCGTCAGCGTCCACCTCAAATCGCTTCTGTGTTTTAGTAAAAGAGCTTACCAAGGGTGGAAATGTGTAATGGTAAAGTTAAAGGACAAAATATATGCCATTCCTTTCCCTAAATCTGTTGAGAGTTAGTAATAAATAATGTTTTCAAGGAGGTACCTTTCAGATATTTTTCCTGTACCAATTAAGATCCTCTTGATCTATTTTTTTTTTTTTGCACTTGGCCGGACTTATTTTAAACATTAGAAAAAAAATATTAATAAATTATGTTTTTTAACATCAGTAAGTATTTTAATGTAGGTAAATTTTACTTGCCTAATGTAGTTTTGGGGGAGTCACCTATAAAACGTAGTGTCTGCACATCTTTAAACAACTTATTGTTACTAAAACATAGTACGGTACTCCTAATTTGTGTGCAACTATATTTCTGTGTGTGTTTCTATTTTGTTGTTTTACGTGGTTTAAATGTCTCTAAGATGTATCGTAACATTATGAACCCTTTAAACATTACATTGTAAGTGTAGCTGTTTGTATACTTTTGAAAAATGTTACAAATAGACTATCAGTACATTTTTGATTAATACATGTTAACATTCCATTATATATTTAAAAATAATTTAAGAAAATACAAGCATGAGTACATTTACTGCATACTTACATTGAAATGTGACCTAAAATATCTTAAAATTTCTACATATTCAAATTCGCTTTAAGCTTTAAGTGAATTGTTATACAGTTAATTTACATACAAAAATATACATAAAACATGTTTCAAAATGTTTTCCTGCTGTACATTTTAGAAATTAAACAAGCCTACTTTTACATAATGCATATCTTATACGCGTACTGTAATACAATATTTTTAGTATGTTAAAGGTTTTACAGTCAAAACTGGTACAAAAAAATATCTTTTTATGATTTTTATATATTTTGACACAGTACATTTCCTTCTTAGTATATTTAAAATGATCCATTAAAATGTGAATACATTTGGGATATACTAAAGTATATTAAATATATTACACTTAATGTTTTCAATACTTTTTGTCTGTGTCATTTCACTTTGACAAATAACTTAGTTTCTGAACATCTATGGTTGTGTGGATTGCATTGGTTGTTACAGACATCTGGTAAACATGTCATGTTAATAACACCTCTAGAAATATATTTATTTAGAAAAATGTCGGCATGTTTCATACTTACTTCAATCACTCTCTATCTCACTAAGTGTATTTATGTCTACCAGGTAAATACCAGCTGCTGTTTGCATTACTGTTTAGTGTTTACCAGGCTAACAGAAAGTTTGTGTGTGTTTCCTAAAATAAGACTACCGTTTATTGCAAAGGTGATGTTGCTTGACCATTGGAAATGCAACACAAGACAACCTCTGCAAGACAGTCTTGTTTTAGGAGTTTCAGCTCACTTAAGAGCTTTCTGAGCAACTATGGACATACCAATAGATATTTATTTCAATATATGTGTATGTATATGGCCTGATGACTGATGATGAATATAATTATTATTACAGTATATTTATGCATATATAGATATAAACATATATTGATAAAAAAAAAAACATTATTATAGGCTGTGTGCATTTTCAAATACATATGCATCACATTAGAATATTCTGTTACTGTTTACATTAAGAGTATTCAAACCATTGAACCATATTTCCTTTAAATGTAGATATAGCAGCTGTATTCATAACACTTGCAGCAAATAAAATGACACATTGTCTATGGTTATAACCTTTCACTGATATCAAGGAATACCGATGACATAGTAAGGGATGTTCCTTTGTGTTTTTTTTTTAATAGGTTTATTTTTTATTTAATAAAGAGGCATAACAATAATTTTCCCATCTGAATCCAGGAACCAGTGATGCATTAAATGGCTTAAGCTGGATATTTGTGCTCTGCTTCTTTTGGTAAAATTAAGCAATAAGTACCTTCTGAATGTCAAAAGAGATTTTTAATCTCAATGGGTATTACCTGGTTAAATAAAGGATAAATGAAAAAATGTCTACCAAAACCTCTGCAACACAACTGTACAGTAATCAGAGAGGTCAAGACAGGGATCAACAGAGATTAAGTTTCTGAGAGCAAAAGACTGCATCTTGAAGTTAACACTATAAGTAGACATAATTTAGGGAGGAATAAAGGAAATTTTATTTTTAACATTTGTTTAGAACCATATATCACATTTAGTTTTGATGAAACTGAACATCTTGGTCCACAAGTGGTTTGTAACTAACTTGTGAATAAACATCATCTTTATTTTTTAGCCGTCTTTTCTTTGTTCCTCTTAAAGTTTTATCTTGTAAGAAAAGTAAGCCAGTGTAGTTCAGATCCCCTCCATCTTCACTCTGGAAAAGAAAAAAAAAATGTTAATGTAATTTATAGCTACTTTCAGCAACATTCAACAAAATCACACAGATATTATTTACTTACAATATTATTTGGTTGACTCACATTGTCTTTTGCTGTTGAAAAAAACCAACAAGATTATCCTTAAAAGGAGCTCATCAGTTTATACTGGCTATATTTTTTTTTATAACAGAATCTTTTGATATGAAAATATCTCTGCATCATTTGGCTTCAAAATAGTTATTTAGCAAACTTACCTTTAAAGTTTCTGCACATGCATCTTTGAATTAAGTTACAAACAAGAATAAAATTTACAGTTATTGAAATGACGAAGCAGATTATTGTGATCATTGTCACATGTCTTTTCGAACTCCGTAATTGGTCTGAAAAATAGGGGGAGAAAAAAGTGCCACTGTTTTTTTAGGATAAAAAAAAATATTTTTCCTAGTTTGAAGCATCACTCTTATAGATCTGGAATCTTACCTGATTCTGTTTTAGTTCCCTTTCCAAATAGTATTTCTCCACATGTTGCCACAGCGCAGTAGACCGCCTGAGTATCAGAGGAGCCGAAGTTCTTAGAAAGGCTGTAACTACATTTCCCCTGAGTGTTCAGTGTAGATGAGTTCTCACAGCTATGCAAACTGTTTTCATTGATGTAGATAATGTCTGGATAAGACTTTTCGGATCCGGCTCTGAACCAGAACACGTTGAGTTCTCCTGAACACATCTTGTCCACAGACTCAGAGACGAGCGAACAGTGTAGAGTCTCTGAGTTTGCTGGATGGGTGCCATCAGAAACATTGTTCTGAAGAACATTGTAGCTTATTGTTCTACTGAAGTCTCCTATGAAAATATAGACAGTGATTAAACTGTATACAACAAGTCTTTCATTTTCATTAAAGCTGAAAACTATGTCATTATTGCATAAAGTAAAAAATATCACAGATAGTAGGAAATTGTTGCAATAACTTTGTGAAACAATAGCATTAAATAAACATCTTGTCACAATTATAAAAAGATAGATTGAATAAGAGACAACACTGTACACAGGAGGTGTCCAAATCAATTTAAGCTGAAAAATATGTAAAAAAAAATCTTTTTTGGATACCATACAGTTGTAAGAAATTGTTTTGTTTTATCATTTAAAGGTTAGAGAGGATATAAATAATTCTGTTGTTACAATGTATATTTTAAATGTATTGTGTACTTCCTATAAATATCTATTTTTATTTTTAAAACTATACTACTGTATATTGTTTATGATTATTAGACTTTTGTATAGAAAGTTCGAAGTTAATATTTTTGTTTTACACTAGCGACCAATCCAGGGTGTACCCCACCAGATATGAATTAATAAACCATGTCAGTACCTTTTATTGACAAATAAGTCCCGCTCCAAGTAGATTTTCTCCATTCCATGTGAGCACAGTGGTACATTCCCTCATCTTGTATAACTGTCTTCAGAATGGTTATATTGCTAAATTTGTCATCATTTGTAACTTCTATTTCTGAGGCAGAGACATCTGGTCCATAATTAGGCTTGATCATTTTCTGTTGCATCACAATTAATTTCAAAGTATCTCCTGCAC